TAATAAAATGCAAACCCTTCCAGTGCAATGTATATGCAGTATGCTGTACAAAGACAATGCTGCCTGCAGTGTCAAATAACACAGACTTACCGGAACCAAGTTTTTCCATTATAGATACTCTTTTTAAAACAGTTGCACCAAAAGCTTTAATTGAATGATTAAAGTTTAATCTCTTACCAATTATGATTAAGTAGAGTTCCTACAACTGTAATCAGAGCACCTTTTTGCCATTATTGCCCAGCAGCTACAGCTTCAAGAGCCACAGTATAGAGAGAATTCTGTTGCACATTACACTTTAACCAAGAGCATCAAGCAGAACATCAAGCATAATGCATTTTTCATGTTTAACCCAGTGAACAAGCCTTTTTCCCAAAACTGAGAAGTTAGCCTTTAACAACAGCAACCCAAGGCAAAAGGATTACAAGAAACATATCAGCATTTGCAACAGGCTTTAAAGCAATCCAATTAGGTAGCCACCTGCTATGTTTTGTGAGAAAACCAGCAACCTAATAACTGGATCGTCATCAGAAACAAAATGCTAACAGTGAAATACTATATTTTCCTCCACCATCTGCATCCTATAAAATCCTGTCAATACCTCATTGTCTACCAAATAGCTTAAGAAATATCTGCCCTATTTTAGGCTTAGAACTACAACGAAAGGCATTCAGGTTTAAGTACCACCTTCCAAAAGAAAAGGATTCAACACCTGTTGGATGCAGAATTTCACCTTTACAATGAAGTGAAATTTCACAAAACATTTATGATGAAATAAAATAGATTCATTGATACAAGATGTTAGTCATGCTCACTTAAAACTTGAGGAACATATTATTACAAAATTTGTGTTTGTAGATTTGCTAAGTCGATTACAGGTAGTAGTTTAGAACACCACTAAGCAACTTTCAGGAAAGTGAACTTACATTACCCACAATTAAACCCTATGAATATTAATTATTTTGTTTTGAACGTTACCCACTACTACTTCCTTTTCACTTCCCTTCTCAACCATTCATCTTACTGACATCCACAAAGCAAAAACACTGCAAAGAGGCAAATGTTCAATTAATATAATGATTTAACTGTACTATGCTACAGCATTTTTTTTCCTTCTCCCAGCCTTCAAAGAACACTGTTTACAGGGTGAAAACCTACTTTCCCCTCAAGCACTCTATTTTAGGAGTGTTTTGTTCTTGTCCAAGTTATTTAAAACTATGTACTTGTTATCAATTCAGAACATTGATGCTCTTTCTAATACTGCTATAGTTACCATATAAAGCCCAAATGCAGCACTGCTTTGTTTCATCTGCTAAACCATGTGCCAGTGTTTGAACAATTTATCCTTAAACCAAGAGCTTCAGAGAAATAGCTGCTTAATAGTAAAAAAACAAGTAAAATAAGTTTAAAAAAACAAAAACTATTTAAATACAGTATATTATTCTAATTCAACACAGAAAAAAATCCTTTACTGTCTCATTTCTGAGAAAATATATCCCAGACAACAGAAAATACAGGGTTGATATCAATTTAAAATATGAAAGACAATCCTTGATTATCAGCATCACATCCAGTCCTTACTTTATTCCCCAGGTCTTAGTAAAAGAATAAAAGATTGTTCTCCCCTTCCCAGGAAATAGATTAGGTAGGCATGACATTTTCCCACTTCACCGTCGCATGCGGTAATAAGCTTTCCTTTTGTAGCATTTATGAATTCAAACAGTGCTGGGGTTAAGCCGGAGCAAAGCAATTTGGCATGCTTGCATCTGCTTTTATCAGGGAAAGGAAAAGCAATCCATGAGGTCTGGACTGACCTTAAAGCACAAGTATTTATTTGGAGATTCTAAGGGCTTACCAATTGTGTTTGGTAAGAGGGAACTTAAATTTGATCACACTCACGCCCAATGTCACCTTAATTCAGGCAATCACCTTCCAGTTCTTCTGCAGGGCCAATAATGTAATTGGTATTCTGGTACTATGAATATTCTCTTTAAAAAAGAGACATTAACTACACACTCCCATTCTAACATGCTTCTTTCTACAGGACATAGCAGGTTTCCAAAGTTAGGTGCTTCCAAATTCAGATAACTTACTTAAAATAATTAAATCTATGCTGGTCTATGCAATTATATTTTCAAAGTGTATCTAAGTGTACTCTTTGATGCCTCTGATATACAATGGTCCCAGAAAAATATTAAAGTCAATCATTTTACGAGTAAACAAATACTATAGAAAATTGTCTTAAAAATCTCTGACATATGAAAGAGCTGGTTTGGAAAAACGCATTCAGGGAATACACTTCTTCCTCTAGGAGCTCGACACTCCTGTTTTATTTCAAGGCAACATTGCTCCAGCTCTTTCATGAAATCTGAGCAACTTTCAGTGTTTCCAACTCTCATGTCCACAATAAATTAAAAGAAATGCATTAGAAACAATTAGTGGGGAAACATTTATTGCCTCTCAATGACAAAGATACTTGATCAAATTAAGATCCACTGCAATGCAAGCAGTAAAAAAATGTGAATACATAGTGTGCTGCTTTGCAAATGGAACTTTTCCATCTTTCCACCTAATAAATAGTACTGTTATTGCCAGATTGTGATGTGCCAGTAATTAAGGTTTTATTATTCTTTTTTTTTTCCTTTATTCACTCTTCCTCCATCTGGAAAATCTGAGACTATTTTAAAACTGACAGTACATAAAATTAATTCTCAATGACATGATAAGCAAGTCCCATATTTCATACATTCTAGGTACACCAGTATCCTATATTCAAATACAGACTGTGCAGATGTGGCTCTTAGGGACATGGTCTAGTGGTAGTGCTGTGCTAATGGTGGGACTCAATGATCTTAAAGGTCTTTCCAACCTAAACGATTCTAAATGTACATTCCACAATATAAAAATGACCAACAAGAAAGAACTCTTGTAATTCTTAACTCCTCTGCTGATTACTTGAACTGAGCATAGAATTCCAGAAGGAAAGACCGTTCATTCCTTTCTTGTCTAAGTTCCCTTCAGAGTTCCTGTTTTCTCTGTCTGGAGCCAGACTAATATCAGCTCAAGCACAAACATGCCCAGAGAATCAGGAATTCAAGCCTCATGTTCTCACAAAAAGATAAATTGATTCAGTTCACCAGGGCTGCTCAGGGCTCAAAAGCAAAGCAATCAGGCTCTCAACGAGCCACAGAGATCATCACGTGCAATTCCATTACAGCCAAGGACAAGGTTCTGCAGTCCTGACGCTTCACTGCCATTTTCTGCTCACCCAACCCCTGTGCTTAACATCCCACTAACACACAAAGGACAGACCTAAACTGCCTCTTCAATCCGAACAAAAGCTGCACGATTCTCTTAATTTGACATCAAACCCAGATCAGTAGCCAACGCTAAGGGGCAAATCATACATAGCAGCTTGAGTTGAACTCAGAGCTAAAGGGGTGAGACAGCAGCTTCAGGACGGAGCTGGCTCGTATTCACCAGTTCACAACAAAGGCGTGGTGAGTTTCTACCTACATGACTAGAGCATCTAAGAAACGTGCTCATACAAGGGCAGAATTAGTCACCACCTCCTCTCCAGAGAATTTTCCTCCTGCCAGGATCTCTCCAGGGAAAAGCAAGTCTGACAATTAATGTAGGCAACAGCACCCGACAGCAGCTGTGCAGATGTGCCACCTAAAGGACGCAGGTATTGTGAGGGATCGAACTGACATTTTCAGCCTGTTCTCAAATACAGAACAGGAGAAAGAACTGGATGTGTGCATGTGTGAGTACGAAATGGAAGCCAGATCTATCTAAATTAATTATAAGGAGGTTATTTGGTTCAAGGTCACCTATGGCAGACAACACCACAGTTACCACAATAACTTCAGGTAAAAAGATTAGACAGGTACAACAGCTGTTAACCTAGAGTGCTGCTGCCACGTACAGAGCTCCACTTTTTAGCTTCTCTTAAATGTTTTCCTTTGAAAATACTTTTATTTATTAGAAATATTTGCTTGCTCCAATCTCTTTTTTCTGATATGTTTTTTTTACCAATTAACAGCTCAACTGCATATATAAATTAAAAATTCATGTACCATGTCATAAAAGGCAAACATGATCAGGAAAAACAAGTAAACTCACACCACAGCACAGCATACATTTGCTTCTTCTGGGCTATACAAATCTGATGTTTGACTGGTCTTTAAACAATTGATCACAGTGATTTACAACTTATAATGACACAAAATCATATCAATTTAAATTTCACTGCATAATGTGACTATCTAGAATTTCTACATCTTTCTTTTATGTTGAAGGCTGCTTTAATTATCCCAGTTCAATTTTCTGAATGTGACAACAGAAAAAAGTGAAGTGAAAAATGAAAAGGTGAAGTTGCTGAAACAAATATAAGCTTATGGGATACCTGAATCTCAGCAAAATAGCTTATTGATGAAAACGGGTCTTTGTCAGGCTGCCTGAAATATCCAGTTTCTTTTTAGCAAAAAAAATCCTATTTCTACTTTAGCTATTAATCAAAGAACAATTATGTTATACGTTTATGAGCAAGTACAAAATGCTGAATTATCTCAAAAGACTTCAGTTATTGTGATATTATTCACACAGATAACTATTATGCTCTGCTACCTAAATTTTAGGTATTTATCCACTCAATACACAATGAAAATCCACAGTTATGCAGCCTTAACTATCTTAATTTCCTGCTTTCCATAGAAATCCTTGATGCACACTACTACATAAGCAAGCCTCATGCAAATTCAGAAGAACCATTAAAAAGTCACTTTCAATTTTCTTGTTTTTCCCACCTGGTATTATTAATCAAGGGAGCAGACGCAGGACCAGTGCATTTATTTTTAAATACACTGGCATTAATCTTTGCAAACATAACTACAACAGCACAACTTAACCACTGTGAACAAAGCAGAAGTCAGCACTTATTCTCTAAGATTTGGAGACGCTCAGCATATCAACTTTCTTTACATTTTCCCTCTGTCACTCACCCCTTTTGTCTGATAGCGAAGCCAGGTGGCTAAAGAAGTTGTCCTGTCAGCTTAATCTTCAATCTCTGCATGCAGATCTGTGAATGCAACACAAAGGGTGTAAGGCAATGCTTGTCACAGCAATGTAAGAAATACACTTACCTTCAGAGTATCCTCTTTCTGTAATTTGAAACTACAAAGGGATAATAAATACATGTTTGGCCTATACATTAATAATGATGTTTATTTTGTACAGCTACTACTGTGTGGAAAAAGTCTGTACAAACAGATGTTGCTTCCCTCTACTGCTTGAATGACCCCATTGTTTGGTCACTAACACTGAACTCATCCAGCAGTCCTGTACATGGACAGGGGAGCCAAGGCTGAAGCAATTTTGGCCAATGCCAATTTGCCACAGAAGTTAAAAGGCGCTGCCCTGCATGTCAGCAAGACAACTCAACAGAGATAAAAGATCAACTTGTACAACCCCAAGTTTAATCTGGAAGATGATTAACAAACAGGTAGAACTAACTACCAAAGGAAGTAGGCACTGAATCCCTCTCAGTCTCTTCAAATGAAGAGAATCTTTCCAGCAGATCCACTTCAGCTGAGCATGTTACCAGCCTCCATCCAGGGAAACGAGAGACATTTACATTCCCCAACAGGAGCTCAAAGGAAGAACTTCAGCGATCTCTTTTGATCTCTACAACTATTAGTCTCTACCTCGTAACTCTAGGTACAATTTTTATCTAAGTTTAGCACAAAAAGAAACATAAATTTCTGCAAAACCAAAATTGTTTGAGACTTTCCTTCAGTTTTCCTGGAAAAATTGATGGAGAATTACTTCTTGTCTGCACCTTGTCACTGCTCCCAAAAAAACTCCCATTTCTACCCTCTTCCCTCTTTTAATTTCAGAATTGCACCTAAATTATAATGATTCTTCAAATTATTTAGACTAGCAAGAGCTGGCTACATAAGGAGTAAGATACCCATTCCAACAAAAACAGTTCAAATCAAGGAATAAAGCTGCATGTCTTTTAGCTAGGAACTTCAGAGTTAGGAAATAGCAGCACAGATTTCAGGTGCTTTTGTCTTCACCACTGCTGAAAATACTTAGAGAGATTTTAAGTGTGCCTATATACATTATATATGCATGTTTTTATCAGCATGCATTTGGGTTATTCCCTTAGAAATCCCTCACTCTTGTCCACAGAAAATCTGATTCAGGTTTTAGAGTTCTTACTGGGAAAAGAAAAACAATATATACAAAATATATTTCAGCCTTTATATGTTACAGGTTTTGTGACAGAAGCAGCAGCTTTCTGCTGTTTAAAAAGTTCCTGTTCACTTACATTTTACTTCTGAGCTTGTTTTGGATATTCTTCATTTGTGACATTGCCAATGATTTATTCTGGTCAGAAATCATAGGATTTATTTCTGTTGAGCAAACCACTGAGCTTTCTGAATCAATTATCATCAACTTCTTTATTTTTCTTTTTTTTTCTTTCCTTTTTTTTTTTTTTTTTTTAAGGAGGCCAAGAACTACTGGTTTTCCCAACTAACTGCACTCTGGAAAGTTCATTACACACTCATTCTGGTTCTGTGTCATGCTCCCAATGATTATATAGTGTGTACATGCTGTCTATAATGATCAGGTGATCAGAATTCAGCTGAACATCTTTATCTAATTCAGCTGAACATCTTCTTCAAACCTAGAGCATTGTGTCCCATTTCATTTTCATAAGACTTATTTCAAACTTTTGCAAAGCAGGTCTTGGGTACAAACCTGATGTTTTTCTTTGCTTTTTTCTTTCCATGGCTCTCTAAGCCACCCCCAGAGTTCATCAGATAGAATGGCATCAGTCGTTGTTGAGCTTTACAACAGTCATATTGATTGGTATCTCCCAAAGGCACATTGTCATCATTTTACCACTGATGGGGTTATGGGCAGTCACACACTTTGACATTCGCCTTAGATGTGATAAATGCAATCCTCATTTTCTCAGATCTTGTGCAAATCACCACAAATCCATCGATCACAGAACGACCCTTTCTATTCCACTGAAGCTGCAAAATCCAAAGTCAGAAATATCTTCCTAATTCATACACACACCATACATTCCATAGTCCTATTTTTTATTAGATTGGGCTGATTCAGCTCATCATTTCCATGATGAAAATACCAACTGGTGTATTCCTTTTGAATAATGTTGTACAGCATCACTCTGAATAAAACATTATTAACAGTTTCTCCCCAACTATAATCTATCTAATTTTTGAATAACAGAAGGCATTCCTGACATGTGTCACATGTTAATCATTTTGTTTGTGGACTGCCACAATCATTATTATTGTAACAAACAGAAACCACTTGATAGTTGTTACTGGCTGAAGTTTTATTTGGAAATTTTACTCTAGTAAAAACATTTTTAAAACTAGACATAATAGGCTAGAAAAATTTCTTCCTATGCTTAACATAGGAAAAAACCACTAATCAGCATTTACTAAGCATTATGGTTTGTGCACCTTTTGCCAATATTCTCAAAATAAGTAAAAATTGGTCATTGCAACAATAAAGCAGCCAAGTCAGTCATATATGAACTTCAAAGAGCAACCAGCACAAACTCAGTGCCTGAACATTGCTCCTATCACAGAACTACAAAGAGTGTAGAGATTATGGCAAGATTTGGCCCAAGGTACAAAATTCTAGATGCACTATTTTGGGAAATGTAATAAAATCTTGATAAAGGTTTGAACACTTCAAATGCTAAGTAAGTGCTCGTGATGAAAAAAGATGCCTGTCACTGCCCTACCGAATTATAAAACTGTTCTTAGTTTTGGGTCTTAAATATACAATTAAAAGCTTTCCATCTCTCATTTCAGATAAGGAAATTGCAATTCTTCTTTGGAAATTAACTTTCCATCTAGTTCCTGGACATGTTTTTTTTAATTATTATTTTTGAACCACATCTCATTTAATTACTAAATGTGGCTTGCATTTGCATCTCTGGAAATAGTTTTTTAATTCTTTCTTCTTCTAGCATTTCATATGAATGGAGTGTGAGCAGGTTGCTGACTATGCTGATAGGCGGGGAGCAGGGAGAAGTCCTCTCTCCACATTTCATTCAGATAACAGAAACCTGCAAGCTGCTCAGTGTGACAGATGAGCTCTGTGAGCTAAAGCAACTTGTTCCGCCTGTCAGGCTGCAAGAGCCTACAGCAGCAAGATACAATTGTGATGACACCACCATCACCAAACTGGGTCAAACATACGGTCACTTTAAAACAGAATGTCACCCCTTCTTTCTACGTGAGGAATTTGATTCAGTGACACTAAAAGCTGTTAGATACCATTAGCTTTATATCCAAGTTAAAATGAAACTGTTTCTCTGACAGTATTTGAAGGATCCTCTTTGCCATTAAAGTTCGTAGGAATCACAAACTGTCAAATAATGTCACTATTGCCCAAAGCCAGCGGGTGCTTTATGAGCACAACACTCTCCGTGTTGCACCGGGGAAGAGGGGCCTTTGGAGTTACAGCACCATTATGGCCTTTGTGAATTAAATGCATTAAAATCATCACAGACTTTTAAAGAAAATTATACAGATATAAAATGTTTCCTTTAATTGCAGTAAGAAAAATAAAAGATGCCTGAACTCATGTCTGCACCTATTATTTTGATTTTTAGATCACCATCTCATATAAAAATTAACTTTTTATTTTTAGTGAAATAAATGAATTATTAAATGAATGATAGCAAAAATGTAAAGATAAATGAAAAGTAATATTTAATAAATTGTTCCAATTATTTCCCTCAGTCTTCGAAGATTTACTCACACCACACTGTGATGCTGGAATACCCCAGGCTATATTACAAGCATGTACTGTTCAAAGATTAAATAACTGTGGTATACAGGTCACACCACATGCTGGTTCTAGATAAGATTTGGAAAAGCAGATAATGAGATGAAGATAGTTCTGGTCATACTCTGATATTTGATGATCAAAATCTTGAATGCATTAAATGATGTGTGAACCCATCTTTTTTAACAGAATTACACTATGTATATGTTTCAGCACGGATACATTTAGTCCAAAAGCACTAGAAATGTAGAAGGAAACAGTAAAGGTCCGAGACATCCAAAAGTAATTTCCTTCTCAATATTTACCAATTTATGTTGACAGTCTGAGTCAAGCTCAAATCATGGACTCAGGCCAAGTAAAAAATTCCCAGCCTGTTAGACTCCACAGTTTAATTTAGGTACTTCAATACAGCATAATGAAGACATTTTATATATTTCAGGTTTTGATGTATCTATTTTTCTGGTTCATGTTACACACTTGCCTTTCTAGTTCAACACAAAAATTTTCAGGAAAAATATTTTCAAGAAAAACTTCTCATGGAGCCATACCATTAATATGATTCATATTTTTGTGCAGTTAAAAACTTATATAATTCTTAAAAATAATTGTTGTTTACTTGCTTTGATTTCTAAATGTCTTTGATCTCATTCATTAATATTCATTAGACTTCTGATGTTGAACTAATGAGAATCTTACACATTTATGAGAAGTTATTTAAACAATGCTATCAATTTTTTTTTCTGACTTATGTTTTTCATCAACACCAACAACACTTAATTATTTGCATTCTTCAGTTTTTTCTTCAAACTTCCTGAAGACACGGTACACATTCTCTAAAACAAAAGGGAACTCAACAAATGCATAACTAATTCAGCCAATTTTGAGCATGGAAGCCTAAGCAGATAACAAGAGAAACACATGATACATGTGGACAGAATGAATAATGCTCAAAGGAAGAATCCAGTCACGACTTTTCAGCCTCAGGAGTTTCCAGGCACAAAAGCAGCAGTGCTGTCGCCAGAAAACAAGAGCAGCCACTGATATTTGCCATCCCAGGTGCACACACAACTGCAGGAACAGCGAGGCACTTGTGTGCTTTGTATTTCAGAAAACATCAGCTGTGCTCAGATTGAGTTTCCATTGTTTACACTCCATTTTCACAGGAAGCTGAAAGGAAGAGTCCCAGAATGCTCCTAGAATCACCTGCATTGCACACACAGCATAAATGAGAAG